GGAGGGGGGCCGAAGTACCCTCACTCAAGGCCTGAGGCCTCATATGGGCCCCCTCCCCATTCAGAAATTAAAGATGGAAAAATTCGGGCAACAGTCTGCCTTGGTCGTTGTTTTAATTGTGACAGAAACCATTGAGTGCTTGCTTCCAGAAAATGTGGGCCCCCCCAAGTATACCCTCAAAAAATGTACTCAAATTATGCCACTAATGACGGATCCCTCCAGGCAGTGGCAAAAATAAACCGCCTCAGTTAAGCCCCTATCAAGCCCAGATGTCAGCAGAAACAGAGATGATGTTAATCCGTCGACTGTCCCTCGGCCATGAGAGTCTCAATCTCTGCCACTTCTCTGGGAACAAAGGCGGTCAGGTTCTCAGCTCCATTTTCAGTCACCAAAACGTTGTCCTCAATTCGGACCTGTATTTGAATCAAGGCAACTTTAATGGTGGCCCTGACAAAGATGACTATGACCATGAGAACAATAGAAATGACAACATAAATCAACAACAATTTCAGTGATATTTCCATGTCAAATTACTCAGGTCAGGGGTAACAGGGACACAAAAATGTCACACTTTTGGACCCTGAATTTTTTCAGGGTCAGTTTTTTTTCCCGTCTGGACCCTGACTGCGTGAGGGTAACCTTAGTGAGTTTTGGTATTCTTGTGGTATTCTTGTATTCCGTGTTCACAGTAGCCCAACATTCAGATAATTAGCTGTGCACGCATCATGCCGTTTAAGCATTTATTATTGTCATACCTCTGTCTTGGATACTCTCTGTTCATTGGTGCAGAACGAAACATGACAGGGCGATATATCTGCATATCACACTCACCATAAGACATCTAACTCTGCGGATAGCACGTGGATGCGCACACGACAGAAGAGCTTCGGGAAGTTCGAGAGCGACTGTTGTCACTCATTTAGTCAGTTTTGCACAATACCTGTGATACGTTTTAGCATTAGCTTCCAGGGAATTTGATCACTGGTCGCACCAGTATAACAGACTCATTCCCATCCTTGCAGCATATAAGATAATGCAGGGCGGCTAACAAGAGTACATGATATGTGAACTTGTACTCACTGGTACCCGCACTACTTTCACATAAAAGTTTAAGCAATTAAAGAAAGTGAGGAAACAGTGGATATGCAGACGATGTTGTTAAAGTCTGTTATGTTAATTATATAGTTTGACAGTAGGCCTATTTGTCTACTTAACTTCTAAAATTCAGAGCTTGTTTCTGTGGATAAATTCCTAAGCCTCAACATAATTAAGACAGAGGTATGACAAAACAATTGATGACTGTTGTGATGTGGAATATGACGTTTTGAATACCCGTGGGATGCATAGTGCCCCGAGGCAAAGCCGATGCAGCCTTGGGCAAGCATAGCGCCTTCGGCTTCACCTCAGGGTGCTGTGCGTCCCTCGGGTGTTTAAAATTTTATATCACAGCAGTCAACATTTGTTAAATGTAAGCCGGTGTATGCCACACACAAGAGCTTTGACATACGGTCATACAGTGTTGTCATTTTAGTCTGTTCTTCAGTTCAAAGTTCTAGTTCTGTGCTATGATGGAATCACGATCAGCGTTCAAATCTGATTTATATCTACATTCAGTCTTCTGCAAATTTCAACCTTTTTTTCAAACAGAACACTGACGACTTTATCCATGTCAGTGAGAAACGTAAGCCAATGCTGAAGAGCTAACACTCACCCCACCAAAGCTCTTGAATCTTTCCAAGACATCAGGACAAAGGAACTGCTTCATTTGGGGGTCTTTCAAGGCTGGTTCCAGAGTCTACAATGTAAACATTTGTAAGGACATGAACCCAATTGTAATGAAATTTAGAAGTGTAGCTACTATTCTTAATACATCATTTCAAGTGGCCTTACGATAACTTCATTCAAAATGCAGTATGTAAATTTGATGACAATACCAGCCAAGATTTAATCACGAAGAGTACTTTGGTCTTAAGAAAAAGTTTTGTTCTACTCCAGTTTCTCCAATTTCTACTACTCAACTATGCTTCTCCCAACTGACAGAAGTTAAAATTGGAATCAAACAAACAGGTCTGCGTTTTGGCTGTTTGGGAAAAACTCTTAGAATAAAGTCACACTTACAGCTGCAATGAAGTAGCACCCTGGTTCAACGGTGATAACCATTCCGGCTTCCAGAACACGAGCCGTCCGAAGGTTGCGAATTCCTGGCCTTTGGATCCTTTCCACACCCTACCAAATAAATGCCATTATTAATCCTAGGTAAGCTTAGGCTCCTTGAATCAGATAAAATTTTACCGTCAGAAGAAACCAAATTCTTGTACTGAAATGAGACATGCTATGTATTAGTGGTTAGGATCACCTCCTTACAGTTTCACAGCATTTTCAGACAAGTTTTCAAAGGTGATTCATTATACAAAGTATGCTAACATACACTATTCAGAGTAAAATCATTATTTCTTTGTAGATGCATGCAGTGCCACACCATCATTTACACATATATAAGCCTTGTCAATTGTTACTGACTAAAAGAAGACATTTTAATTTGAATTATGTGCATCTAAAACAAGTAAATTCTGCTTCATCCTTGTGCAACACATCGTCTGCAAAACGAGCAAACATCAAGGCAGATGCTGTGTGAGAAATGGCCTGTTCGTGATTATCTCGTGTTGCTGCACTGTATTGAAAGGCAGTTTCTTGTGCCTAGATCTAGGTCTAGATCTTTGCTGGTTGCAAGTGGCTACATGCTGACAGTCAATACTCATAGGTAGCCATAGCTCTGAGAAGCCCGTTTCAGGCATAGCCTTAATCTGCCTGCAGGAATGCACACTGCTTCCATTAGTAACAGTGTAAGAACAATATTCAGGCATGTAGAGATAAACTAACTCGGTTATGGCCTGTCTCAGCAAGGAGATAAGTATGGGTGCATTAAAATGTTTGAAAAGAAAAAGGATCATTCAAAATTTTCAAATGATCCCTGCATCAGTAAAAACTTCCTCCGAGACATATTTAAAGAGGTCTTTTTCTTGGTAAACTGCTTTCTAGTTTCACCTTTGGGTAGCCACCAACATCATGGGTGTCACATCCTAGGAAGTGTCCCAGGCCGTGGGGCATGAAGACAGCTCCTAGGTACACCTTCATCATCTCATCAACGTCACCTTGGACTAGGCCATGTCGTTTCAGCTCCTCAAGGATAGTCCGCTCAGCTAGGCAATGCATGTCTGGCCACAGGACACCTGCAAGCGTGGATCAAATGTGTCATGGTAAAATTGCAGATCAGACATGCTATTTCACTGACAGCAACTCCATACCCAGAAATTTCACAAACTTCTTTCTTCCTTGCACTCTCATTAGTCAATCACACAGGCACAAGAAGTGAGCTTGTCCTACAACTAGTTCAACTTTTGTCGCCAACCTCCAAATCCAAAGTAACAGACTGATGAGGATGAGATTTTTTTGGAAAAGGGTGCAACATACAAAAATAGCTTATTTAAAACCCATTTCTCAAGTGCTGACATTTTCCCCATGTGAAAGTTTTTCACAACTTTGTGTGACAGATTTCAACTACATGGATCTTGTAGATTTGTACCTGGTTTCATTGCATTGAGCACAGCATGATTCGCCTTCAGAACGGTTTCGTAGATAATGCGTTGGTCAGCCGTGAATTTGCCATTGGCAGGAAAGGCAATTGTGATGTCGGCGGCATATCCGTAATATTCTCCTCCCATGTCTAAGGTGCTGCAGGACACAACAATTGTTTAGGAAACTGAGTTTGTGCGAAAATAATGATACAGTTTGTCCATTTCATGATACAAAAATCAACAGGCACGGTCGTTGGCACTATTATTGAATTGCTTGAGTTGCACTAAGGTCACAATGTTTGCCTGTGACTTGCGAAAAAGATTTGTGACTTTCTTAACTTTGGAGAAAATTACTTCAGACTTGACAAGTAAAAAGGAATGTATCTGTGACTTTCTCTGTTCAAAGCAAACCTCTCTGTTTTCATGACACTAGTATTTTATCATAGGAAATATCAGTACATTGTGGTGGAAAACAAAAAACAGATAGGTCGGACGTGTACGACATTGACTGGGCTGCAACACTGGATTCGGGGCAAGGGTTAAGAATTTTGGCTATCCATTGTTTTAATGAAAAGATATGGCCTTTGGTTATGTTCATAAATGATGTCCAGATTGTTTCTTATTAAATGGTCCAAAAGTATTCCAAAGACAGCAAAGTCAAACCAGTGCCCAGAAAATAAGTACACATTTCACATTTGTGTGATAAAATGAGACCCACCATATGTCTCCATCTTGGATTTGCCTGTTGTTGGGTGCTCCGGCGTGTCCATAGTGTAAGACAGAAGAGTTGTGTCCACTACAATGATTAAAGACACATTCAAAAAGACTTGGAAACCAAAATTCTGAACAAGATGTCAGACGGTTCAACATTAACTGAATTTAATGAGAAATGTTAAAGAAACTCAACAATGAGAAACGAAATGAGAGATTTCAGGTCTTGAATAGCTTGAATGGCTGGCTTAATGCCAAGAGTTACCAAGATGTACAGTTTAGGTGTCCTTACCTGGCACAAATGCAGGTGTAGGCCACTTTGCGACATCCGCCATGGTAGTACACATGGTACCGGAATGTACTGAGTGGAAACATCAAATGTACATTCAATTATCATGGACTGCATGAACTCCACGTAAGTTGGTTTGCGTGAACCAATACATCTAAGGACTGAGCAAGGATTATGGGGTAACCAGTGGACGAATCATGACACGATGACCCTAAACAACAATATTAAATAATGACAAAAAAGAGCCGCTTGGCCACTAAGTGACTGTAGTGACCAACTGTGGAATCTATGTCTATCCTTTGTGTAACGGGTTTTGCCGTTATCTTGAAAATATGTCTATCCTGTTAGTATACATGTAGTTTGGATTAAGGAATGATTGTCTCTAGTCGAATTACTATAAAATGTTGTCATGGTAACTCATGGTCCCCATTCCCTGCTGTGCATTCAGATACTGTGAGGTAGCTATTGGTAATCAGTGATACAAATAACCTTGGTTAAATGGACCTGAACAATCAGCTAGACTAGAACAATTATTGTTGACATTTGGTAGAGTGTGAGCTACATATTGCCAAACTGTTGTTGACCACTAGCTGTCGATCAAACATGCACACCATGGAAGGTAATGGTCAATAGCTGTAGCTAGCTACTTTCCACTGATATGCATGTCACTGCTGTAAAGGGCCTAGACTTACCGGTAGGCAGTAGTCTCACTCAATAATCAGCATGTTAAATTACTTAGGTTGCGGATATCTGTGATTTCATTACAGGTTTAGGTGAGCACGCACAATATGTGGGAATAAATAATCTTTCCTTGAGGTGCCCAACTGGGCTGAGGGGACATGCACAAAAGCACATCCGTGTGAACATGGCCTTTATTTAAAATAATATACCTGACTTAAGTCAGGTAGCCCCAACATGCAACAATTTTTCTGGACTTTTTACAATGGCATCAATTTTCCTTCAGAGTTTTTATGCATTGCATTGTGGGATACTTCCCCAGATAACCCACTCGGCAGGTCGGTTACTTTGGCCACGTCTAAGAAAGCATAAAAGTCATGTAAGCATCAAATCGAACATATAGGTTGGTATATGGTTGGTAGAACATACTGTATAGTGCCCTCTACTGTTCCTGCACACAGCCAATGGCCTACCTCTCTAGCTGGTATTCCATCAGACCAGGCTGAGCCTTGCGCATGACATCCTTATGAGCCTCACAACTCAGAGCACAGACATAGCGAAGGATCTCCAATTCACCTGCGCTCTTGAAGACACGACTACAAACAGAGCAAAGGACAGAACTCCGGCCCAGTAATCAAACTACTTAAAATTTCGGTTCAGCAACCTGATGGTCCATCTGACTTTGCAAATTAATTTCAGATGCAAAAACAAATTTATGTTAAAATGATTTAAGAGTAAAATCTGAGCTTACCATTCGCATATTTCAGGATAAAGGAGAGCGTTATTCACTTTAAACCTGCCAAAATAAAACAGGATTAAAATAATGTAAGAAATTGAAGTGGTTTGTAACTTTGGCAAACATAAACACAACTTGATGCTTCAAGACTAAGCAGTTTTTTTATGGTGCTTTTTGGAAGTCAAATACAAGCCTAAGGTTGCAGACAGCAAGTTAAGAGGAAGTAGCTGCCAAGGGATGCTGGGTTTCAAAGTGTGCCCTGAACGAAAAAGTCTTCAAATTTCATCCGATTTAAAAAAGGATTTTTTCCCTAAACATATACATGTACAATGCAACATTACGGGTTTTATAAACTGTACATGCCAACAATAATTTTTTATCTGATCTGAACCGTGTTGCAGTCTTAAACGTTTAAAGAAGGGACCTTTGTTCTTGAAATACATGTACAAACAAAAACCAAATATGCAACTGCTTGAATTATGTTCATCTTTGACTTATCCATTTCATGGACATGTCAAAGATGAATACCATTTTATACTAATACCCTTTAGGAAAGTTTGAGGAACAACGCTACCCGAAGTCCAAATAAACAATTCAGTCCGCACAGAAAGTGTGCTAGATGTGCTGTAAATACATGCTGAAACCAAAACCACCATTATCCGACAATAATCTTGATACATTACCTCTCTATTCAACAAGTTCTTCAAAACACCTGATCTATTCTTAAATTGTGATTTTTAAAAAATTCTGCCAGAAATGATGTATATACATGTATGTCTGTCATTATCTTGCAAGTTCAGATTTTTGGTAAAATTTTGATTGCTGATAGGTGAAATGTTCACTTTTACATTTAGGAAAATAAACCCAGCTTGTTTCAGGATTAATTTGTCAAAAGACCAGTCTTACTTGTCGATGCCATCAAATACTGCCTCATGTGATGTTAACCCACTGTCTGAGTTGACGCCTTTCTGTAGGAGACAGACATGGCAGAAAATGAACAGGAGATAGTGGGCACAGCTTGTACACGTAAGTGCGCAGGTTTTGCTTGATTCATGGTAGCTGTGAGGAAGTGCATGCAAACTCCAGCAAGAAAATCTGCTTACAGCAGTGATGCAGCAACTGAAATCTCCATGCACTTACAAGCACAAGAACTTCTAGGCTGTGAATCAAGCTTAAGATTAATAACCTTTTTTTCCCTAAAACAGGCACAATTTTTCTTCCGGAGGGGGGATCTTTTAAACAACTCCATAAAATCTTGGGGAGAATCTTTCCTGTAGCTTACCAGAGTAAGGAGTGTACTAGGCTTCATTGCTTCCAGTACAGTTACAATCTGAAACAATGAGTAAAATAGAGTTAACGTGTATCATGATTGCCCCTGCACTGGTCCTGCAGTTACCCGTTACATGTACTTTGTATATTAACTGTACTAATGTACACGTTATACTATATAAGATTAAGAGTTCTCATTGCTTTCAACCAAGCTCCATACAACATGTGAAAAAAAACTTTGGAGGATCTGAGGACTTTTAGGGTTAAATAATCTTTCCTCAGAGCACTTGCTTTTAAACTTACAATGACCGTTTCAAGAGATTTAATTAGTTTAAAATTTAATTTAATCAGAAAATAACTATGTACCTCTTCCACATAGTGAACCTCATCTACTGCATATCGCTCTTTAAGAACTTCATTGGATGGCAAGCTAAAGAGAAAAATTTGCAAAACAGCATTCATTTTGGTCCTTTCTTTAAGCCTACATATGCAGTTTATCTCCATTTTCTTCAAATAAGCCCATTTTCAACAAATTAAAACCACTACAGGTAGATGTACATGTGACTACAAAGACAAAGAATTTTAAGTTATTATTACTTTCTTTTGTAACAGTAAAAAGTTACTAAAGAATGAATGAATGCATAAACTCCATTTGCACATGTAGGATGTACGCTGTACATGTACATACAAGTATGGTGTGAATGGCTCTTGGTGAAAAAACACAGCTCGTTAAAATTTCATGCCCTGTTTGTGGTTCAGAAATTAAAACAAATTATTTTTTTTAGCATGCATCCAAATTTTTGTCTAAAGTATCTTGCTGGAGAGATAGAGATATTTACCATTCTCTGTCACCACTTAATAAGAAGCCAGTATTTTCAAGACTTGAATTTTGATGAATCAAAAAGGAAAATTGTAACCAAATTATTGATAATGATATACTGATGGATTAATCCAGCAACCATATATTACTCGCCGACCTATAAATGACATCATAAGTTAAACTCACTCTCCCATGTACACAATGTATGCCTCTGGTATCTTGGGTGCAAACAGCACTGTCTTCCCCGTATCCACGGCCACAGCACCATAGAAACCCGGAAGCTCAACACCAAAAGTCCACATGAAGAATGATTCCTTCAAAGTGCAGATTCAAAAAGAAAAAAGTGTCAAACCTCCAGAGAATCTACATATCAGTGAAGAGTCTGGGGGTGAAACCATACATGTTCTCACCGAGAAAAAATGAAATAAACAGAAAAGATTGAACAAACTGTACACAGATGTGAAGGTCTCTGCAATAAAAGAATTACATGTAACTCAAAATTTTCATGGGTGGCGGTGCTCCGAACTCCCATTTTAGGTTCACTGGGAACTGATAAAAATATTGAAAGGGGAGCACAGGATGGCCAGGGTTCAAGGTCCCAATTTACACCCCCTTCCCTTTTCGTTTATTCCATTGGGCATATCAGTATTTGAGTATCTTACCAGTCAATTGTTTTCACAATAAATAGTAGTTGAGACATATTTGTTTCCATATTGATGATTTTCATTCCATTTCCTTTCATTGCATATCATTTTTAGCTGCTTCCGCCACACTGCCAAAGCAGCTATTGTTTTCGTTCTCTGGGTCGCGATGGTGGGTCGCGATGGTGAAGTATGGGACACTTTTCAAGAGACGGGAACAGAAACTCCTCAAAATGCCTTTCTTTCTCTTCATTTGTAACAATGAACAATGTCACAGACAGTTTGCAGTGGTTTTTGAGAAAACATTGGAATTCAGAGGGCGAAAAATGGGCGATTGCGCAATACCCATTTATACACGTCAATGCTCCTAGTGGGAGGATGGGGGTTAGGGTGATTTTTACTAAGTCAAAACATGACCCACGTCAAAAGACTGAATGTTTCGGCGTAATGAACTTCTACAAAGTACACAAGTTGGTGTTAACAGGATCAAGCCTAGAGAGACATGCTTTACCAGTAGGTCATGAAACCGGATTGAAAAAAATAAACTATAGCTCACAAAATATACAAATTATGTTTAGAGAAGGCTCTGATTCAGAAGCAGCTCTGTGGTTGTTCACAAGCACATTCCTCTAGTCTTTACTTGTTTCCTTATCTTGTCCTTACCTTTCTTCCCTGGGCCAGGGGGCAAATTTCTCATTATTCCCCTTCCTTGCAATGCCCATATAGCAGGCCAGCACCTGTTGCTTATCTGAATCAAACAAGCCATCTTCTAAAACAAGACCCTAGAACCTAAGTTGTATTGATGGTTGTGTAGGGTGAGAGAAAGCCCACCAGTGAGAATGGTACAGTCCAGCCAAGTGGGCAGACTGAGGAGTACAGATAAGTGCTATGCTGGGTGTGCTTGCCTGTAGAGTGACCAACACATTTCAGCACAATTTATCTTAATTTTCTGCCGTCTTTTTTCAGGTATGTGTTTTTAATGTTTCATTTTTTAGTAAAGAATCAGAAGTGCTAGATTATCCAAAACTGGAATAGTTTGAATCCTCCTAAAAGTAACAAGGAGTGAAGATTACTTAGAGTTTTTACAGTCAGGGTTATTTTGGGGGTCTTGCCAGTCGACTAGTGTTATCTAACTTTTTATAGTTTTCTGTCGGAGTCTAGCAATTGACAGTATGTCAACAGGAATGGTTGGATTTGATGTTAGTGGCTGAATTTTTGTTTCCTTGCTCAATGCTTAACCATGGAGGAAGGAAATCTGTTTTCCTGTCTCCATGATTTAACCATAGAGCTAGGAAACTTGAGCCTTGTGTAACCAAATATTAAATAATGCATAGAGCAAGGAAGTTTTCCATCTTGTTTAACGCTAAAATCTTTTAGTAACTTTATAGCTATAGGTTTTATAGCTAGGAAAAGTTTGTACATTGTCTCTAAAAAGAGTTGATGTACATGTACACAAGGTGCTGTACAGGTACTGTGTACATGTACATGTATGTACATGTACATGTGCATATTCTACACAAGATGGTTCCCGATAGGCCTGCCATGTACATGTATAATTTGGTAGGGTAGCAGTGCCTGGGTGGACATTCCTTAGACATGTGGTCACTCCCTTATCATGATCAGGCCCTGGGGGTTTAGCCAATGGCCTGTTTATATTGAGGGGAGCAGGTGCTTTAGCCTGGGTTGGAGCATGTGTCTTCAGTTTCCTCCATGACTGGAGCGTGGTCAGAGTGGTTTTATTGCTTACAGTGTCACTGACATCCCCTGGATATGCCACTTTTGCTAATCAATTGATAAAAAAAAATTACTCAGGCTGCCAACTGCAATCATCTCCCATGTAATCCTACATGTACCTCTGAACAGCCTGGATTCATGGGTTTATTCACCTTAAACTACTGGGCCTCCCCTAAGCAGGAACAAAAAAAAAATCTGAGCCTGTCCCTGGCCAAGTGCAGTTCAATTGTGTACCAACATTGTCCAGATGTGAGTCTTTCTGTATTTTTTACATCAACGGGTGCCTGGCTTGCCCAGGCCTAGTCTTGGTTTCAAGACGTTAGTGCTTTATAGCGGACACCGTGCATAGTGCGCCTCCTAATGAATCATAATTAGACTGTGCGCCAGCTCGCACTAATGTCTTGGGAATCTTGCAGCAGTGTTTTAACTTGTTCTTTATTTTTCCCGCGGCTTTCCAAGGGAACCAATCAGCACTTGCTAAATTGCGTGCATAATAAATTTCAATGACCTGAATAATACACCATGGTAAGGTCACATGCACCATGGCTGTCTGCAGTCCCGTCAACACAGACACAACCTAGGCGTCTGTATGGAGTTACCACGGAGTAGGCGGAGTAGGCGTACTACCGTAGGTCATGACAGAGGATGCTGTTCTCGGTGACCCATAATCAAGTACAGTCTGTACGTCCTCCCCAGCTTACTAAAGCGTCCTTAGAGACCATGTAGACCTTAACCTTCAAGGACGGAGTACCCGGACTGCAAGTTGGTTGTCATTTTCTTGCTGCACGTGCAGGTTTAGGTGTCGCTTGTGTTAGTAATTTGGCCTCATCAGGCCCAGCATGCTCATTGTGAGTTGCAAAAAAATGAGACCGTATTTCTTGCGTGGTGTCAGACATTAGACAACGATTTTGTTTTCCGAATTTTTCTGCAACAGATATCACAAACATGACTATCCCAGGCCCTGCCTGTGACCCATAAACAACCTTTTGAAGGCTGTTCTGCCCCTTATAGGGTCCAGTCTACTAATTCAAGCCCCACTGAAAACAGTGTAAAATCAGCACTGTTCAGGGCCCAATAGCACGCACGCCAACATCCCTGAGATTTCTGAAACACAAATTAAATTCTTGTCTGGTCACTTACCTTTCAATTTCTTTTCAATTTTTTGTGGGTTAACCAATTACATTTTTAATCTTTCCCACAAAACAAAA